CACTAGGTGTTCAGGATCCTAGTGTAACACTTTGCCTCTCTCAGGGTGAGCTTTTGAGCATAAAAAAATATGTCCTGGGTTAGCAGGAATAGTAAGTCAGAAGCAGAACTACAGAAGCCCAAAAGCAAGATTAGTACATTTAGAGGCTTTCCCAGACCTGACTTTGATGAATTGGGTCTTTGTTTTCATTTTGGCAGGTGGTGCTGTCTACATGCTAAGTTTTATGGCCTGAATGTTACTTCCATCATGGAGTCAGTTGTACTAAGGTCTGGGGCCTACTAAGGTCTGAAGCCTATTATCAATGCATGATCATCTTATAATATGGTCTTATGTTCATACTCTTTAAGCTTAAAATACTTTGCTTTAAATTATGGCATAACCCCAAAAGGTGGTGGTAGGGCTGAGATGGATCATTGGTAAAGATATTTGCTTCCAAGACCAACTCCTGAGTTCAATCACTAGGATTCATACTGTAGAAGGAAAGAACTGATTCATGCATGTTGTCCTCTAACCTCTACATGTACACCTTGGGATGCATGCTTGTGCACAAACACACACATGCACATACACACATACTAAACAAATGTTAAAAATATGGTATAATCTACTTTATGAGCCAGGGTCTCATGTAGCCCAGGCAAATGCCAAGCTTGGGATGCAGCCAAGAATGGCGTTTCATTCCTGAGCCTCCGGCAGGCCTTTCATGTGCTGAAATTATGGGCATGCCCTACCATGCCATTTTGTGTTGTCGGGGATCAAACTCAGGGCTTCCTGAATGCTAGGCAAGCACTATACTCCTGAATCTGTTTTTATGTGTGGTTAACTGACAAAATATTCACTCAGAATATGTGAGGCCCAGGGTTCCACCTGCAATGCCATAAAACAAAACAAAAAGACTGGGTTTTCAAAAAATAAGCTCAATGCCTTTATCTGTATAATTATAACATGTCTTCCCCCAGAGCCATACCAAGTTTGAGGTTTGCCTGGAATACGTGAGACCCTGGCTCATAAAATAAGTTACACCATAATCTTTTTTAAACACTTGTTTAATGTGTGTGCATGTGCACTCACACTCTCACATGCATTTAAGAAATCAATAGACATTAGTATTATTTCATTTATTTTTAAATGTCTTCTCTCCTGCCCCTATGAAATGAGTATTAAATTACTGGAATGATCTTTGCCACTGCCTTTCTATTATTGGCTGCCATGGCCCTCTCCTCATCACGTTCCTCTTCACGCTCTGTCCCTTACTCCTCCTTCTGCACTTCCTCTCTTGCCATAGGAACCCTCAGATGTCCACATCTCCTGTGTCAGAGTGAACACTAAGCAACTTTAGACTGCCTGGACCAGTGGTTCCTTTGCATGTAGTACCTAGTGCCTGTTTTGCCTCTCCTTCATCTCCAAGTATGAGACTTAAGATTGGCATGGAGTAGCTGGGCGGTGGTGGCGCACGCCTCTAATCCCAGCACTCGGGAGGCAGAGGCAGGTGGATCTCTGTGAGTTCGAGGCCAGCCTGGTCTACAGAGCGAGCTCCAGGACAGTCTCCAAAAGAATACAGAGAAACCCTGTCTCGAAAAAGATTGGCATGGAGTGGCTGAAATCACAGTGTGAGGTCTATCCTACATAGATTTTAAAAGGGGAGAAAAGAAATTTAGCCATCATTTATTTTTAGGTTAAAGCAATAGTGGGTATATCTCCCTTGAAATCATGTAGGTGTTACAGTATTGAATTGAGCCAATTCAACACTGATGATATTTCATATGTGGGCAGAATTTTATCAAGGAGAAAATAATTAGTGGGAAATAGTTATCTAAATAACATCTCATATGGATTTAGACCTAATATCTAGGAAGTGCAATGATCACCTTTTTTTTAACTGTCAAAGCTGGTTGAGAGCTGTTCCTTAGGGGTTGCTTGGACTTGAGTAGCCTCTAGCTCTTCTAGCCTCCTTTTTACCAGTGATTCCATTGATGTGAGGATAAGGCAAAGGCCTTGCTTGACTATGGCATCCCTTGGGAGCAGGCAGGAGGGTTTTCCTCTGAACTCTTTGTAGTTGGGACACAGAACTCACTGGAGATCTCCATGGCCTCCTTGAACAAGAGAACAGGAGAGTTCTCACAGTTACACAACATCTGAGAGATACCCCACAATCTCCTGGGACCTAGTTGACTTTGGAGATCAAGGGAGAAAATAGTCTCCCTTTTAATCCTCCTGACCACAAAAGTATTGATGCTAAGTGTGATTATTGAACATCCAGAAGGTCAGGTACACCAGCCAGGTACTCTTAACTGCTGTGCAATATAAAATGGAACTTGGGTAAATACCAAACACTCAAATCAAAATTTTTGAGACAGGGTTTTCTTTGTTTCTGGTGTTGGTTTATTTTTTTTGCTTGTATTTTGTGTCTTTGGCTGTTCTGGAACTCAATCTGTAGACCAGGATGGCCTGGAACTCAGAGATCCACCTCCCTCTGCCTCCCAAGTGCTGGGATTAAAGGCATGAACCACCACACCTGGCTCTACATTTTTGTAGTAATTGCAATTGTTACTGAGAGTAGATCAGTAAGCAGAAGTGTGACAACATGTATTAAACTTTGACCTTTTAAACACTTTATGTAATTTGTTCAGAACTTTGTGGTGGTGCACACCTTTAATCCCCGCACTAGGGAGGTAGAGGCAGGAGGATCTCTAAATTCGAGGCTAGCCTGGTCTACAAAGTGACAGGACAGCCAGAGCTATACAGAGAAACCCTGCCTCAAAAAAATTGTTTTCCTGTTTTCCATTCTGAAAAAATAAATCAAGCATCATCTTCTATATGACATAAAACATTAACAAATCAACAATCAAGTCTGTCTGATACCATGTCAGCTTTAGCTTGGAAGATAGTGCTGTGTAACACCACTTTAATAAAAGAAAAGTGAATCCAAACTGCATACATGATAAATGACTATTAACTGTACTCAGACTGTTAAATTATGGAGCATGCTTAGTTACCAGGTTAATCTTATAAAAAGCACAGGCAGTCTTTATAACTACATAGTGATCTACTATAACTGCTTTTGGTTTTGAGTGAGTATAAGTAGCAGATAGAGCTGTATATTACAAGATAAATAACAGTCACAACACCTTTGCTTTGACTGTCTTTTTATATAAATTTTTATTTAAATTATAAACAATCTTATTTTACATATCAATCCCAGTTCCCTCGCCCTCCCATCCTCCCATGCCCCTCACGGACCCCCCATCCCATCCCCCATCCACTCCCCAGGGAGGATGAGGCCTCCTATGGAGGATCATCCAAGTCTGTCAAGTACTTTGACTGTCTTATTCTCTTTTCTTCCTGTCACAGAATCAGGGAGCCAACATGACTCAGGAAGGAAGTCTAGGAGGACAACTGAGACAAACTTGCATGGTCTGATATTCCATCTCCAGAGCTAACTTCTAAGAGAGCTCACACGCACACGACAGTTTAATGTAAATACAAAAGGCATTCGCTCCTCTATCACACTGCATTCAGTAGTTTACACTGGACAGAGACTTGCTTTTGAGTCTAGTGGCCACTGGCTAGACCCGTTGCACCCGTCCTCCCTAGAACTAGTATAGTTTGTCTAGATGAGTTTGTCATCTCCTGGGCTGCACTTTGGGAACAGGGATTGATAAGAAACAGGAAACGCTTTCCCTTTTGCGCTGAGGACATTTACTCTGTGCCACTGTATGTTGCCATGTAACTTGCTTTTGTTTGAAGGAGCTCACAGTTAAGAGATTACTTTGAGTCTCAGAAGATTTTGGACTTTCAAATAGTGTTGGGATGATCAAAGTCTATGGCAATTTTTGAAATTGAACTCAATGTATTTTACACTATGAGATGACCAAGAACTATGGTGACAAGAAGTGGAGGAAGGGCTGGAGAGCTGGCTCAGAGGTTAAGAGCACTGCCTGTTCTTCCAGAGGTTTTGAGTTCAATTCCCAGCACCCACATGGTGGCTCACAACCATCTGTAATGAGATCTGGTGCCCTTTTCTGGTGTACAAGCATACATTCAGGTGGAACACTATATATAATAAATAAATAAATCTTTAAAAAAAAGAAGTGGAGGAAGGGTTGTAGCTTAAAAGTGATGTTTAGGTGTCAAGTTGACAAGGAGTGAACTTGTGATGATTAATATTGTTTGTCAATAGGATCTAAAGCTAATTTGTAATAGAGTTGATATATATATCACTTTAATTCATTGAAAAACATGATCCAACATTTGGTCAATGTAATTATGAGAAAAATAATAAATATGTTTTTCGAGACAGGGGTTTCTCTGTGTAACAGTCCTGGCTGTCCTGGAATTAGCTTTGTATGCAGGGCTGGCCTCGAACTCAAGAGATTCACCTGCCTCTGCCTCCCAGACGTATGCCATCACGTCCAGCTGAGAATAAATGATATTTTAAGATATGCATCACAAGCCGGGCGTTGGTGGCGCAGGCCTTTAATCCCAGCACTTGGGAGGCAGAGGCAGGCGGATCTCTGTAAGTTCGAGAGCAGCCTGGACTACCAAGCGAGTTCCAAGATAGCCTCCAAAGCCACCGAGAAACCCTGTCTCGAAAAAAAAAAAAAAAAGATATGCATCACAAATGAAATGTGTCGTGCAATAATTAGTGACGAAGTTCAAGCCTATAACAACTGTTTAGACCAAAGAATAAGATCCTGTAGTAAAAACAAAGCAGAAACGTAAAACAGAGACTTCATAAATATCCGGTAACTGAATAAAAGGAGAAAACAAACACATCTATCATAGCATAACAGAAACATGCACAGACTCTTTAGGATTCTCAACTTGTATCTCAGGTCTTCGCTGGATAAATAGCCATATAATTTTTAGTATTGCTTTGAAGTTTCAAAAGAAATAAAATCTGATAACTGAAAACAGACAGACAAACCGGCTGTGTGTCCCGTGACCCTACATTAACAGAAGGACAGAAGATAAAATGAATCCGCACACCCTTCCGACTGGTAGGGGAGAAAGACCCGCCAAGCTGGACCAGGCTGGCAGGAAGTCCAGCTCCCACAGTCGCGCTCGCTTCCGGCGTCACTTCCTGCGCGACTCCCTCCGCAGAAGATGGCAGCGCTGAGCAATGTCCGCTGGCTGACCCGAGTGAGGCCCGGGACGTGTTGGCAGAGGGTGGGCGGGAGAGCACAGGGTTTGTCCGGAGTTTCCAAAAGACGGCAAGGCCGGCGCGGTGTAAGGGGTGTAGGGTGTCCCAGATCTAACCTTGTGTCTGTCGCAGGCGGTGGTCGCCGCTCGGAACCCCGGGGCTTGGAGAGGTCTCCGAACATCGGCAGCGGCTCACGCCGCTTCGCAGAGCCAGGTACGCTTGAGTCCGGCTTCGCTCACCCCATCCTTGTCGCCTCCTTGCCCGCTCCCCAGAGTGTCCCCTGTCTCTCTCTGCCCCTGCTCTATCTCTGCTGGCCCTACTCACAGGCAGAAGATGTGAAGGTTGAGGGTGCCTTTCCTGTGACCATGTTGCCGGGAGACGGCGTGGGTCCAGAGCTCATGCATGCTGTCAAGGAAGTGTTCAAGGTGAGTAGCCTGTGGTGGGGGATGGGTGGTCGAGCCGCCTGCAGGAATGATGGGTTGAGCTGGAATGTTGAGACCACCTGACCTGGTGCTGTGCTTGGCCTGATTGATCCCTGAAGGCTGCTGCTGTCCCAGTGGAATTCAAGGAGCACCACCTGAGCGAGGTGCAGAATATGGCTTCTGAGGAGAAGTTGGAGCAGCTGCTGAGTTCCATGAAGGAGAACAAAGTTGCTATCATTGGTTTGTATGTCTCTGTCATTTAAAGTCAAATGAGCAGTGTTCATAAATCTCTCTCTCTCTCTCTCTCTCTCTCTCTCTCTCTCTCTCTCTCTCTCTCTCTCTCTCTCTCTCTCTCTCTCTCTCTCTCTCTCTCTCTCCCTCTCTCTCTCCCTCCCTCCCTCCCTCCCTCCCTCCCTCCCTCCCTCCCTCCTAACCAGGCTGCTGACTTTCCTGCTTTCTCTTCGGCGACCTGCTCTGTGCTCTGCTCATGACCAGCTCTGCTAGTTGTCACACACATGTCCTGCTTTGACTTATGCTCCTCCCTCTACCCAAAATGGCTTTTCCTCTGATGTCGCCTATCAAAATACTCACTCATACTCATTTTCTCTGGTTGCCATTGGATAGTACAATTTTGTGGTGGATGTAAATAGAATAAATGTACTCTCAGTTCTGAGACTACAGTCCCTCTGAAAGCATAGAGTGAGAATTCTTCTTTTCCTGGTGTTCTTTGATTTATAAACACAATTCTCTTTTTACAATTCCTTTATCTCTTTTTGATTTACCATTGGATTTAGCCCTACCCCCAATCCAGGACAATTTTATCACAATACTCCTAATTCTATCTGAAAAAGTGTTTCTCCAAATAAGATCACATTTACAGCCCCCCCCACCACCCCAATAAATCATGTTTATGATTTCTTGGTGTAAGGGCATAGGCCTGTCAGTTTGGGGATCACTGTTCAGCCCTCTGTACTCACTTAACTAAGGAACTGACTATAGTGCCAGCTTTTCTGTAACATTTCCTATCATCAGAGAGGTTTCTTCCTCTGTGCTCCTATGCTTGTTGTTAATACCATTCCTTACCTACTTGTGTTCCCTAATGTATTGCTTGTCGCGGGCAGGAGTTGTATGGTTTTGTATCCCTATTGCCTTACATAAATATTAGATTTTCAGTAAGTAGTAGCTGGGGAAATATGAAGTCAGTAGACACAGGAGCATAAGGAAAGCCATGGATTCCCCTAGCGTTGCTTTTCAGCTTGTTAGTAAACCCAGGTTCTTTGACTAAAAACAATGGTTCTTAGGTCATTTTGAAATTTCAACATAAATAAAGTTACTAAAACTAAAGTATTACACTTTTTTTTCCATTTTAATTACATTATTCATTCTCCTTGACTCTTGCTAGGGGCAATAGAGGGTGAGGAATTTGGGAGTGGGAGATAGGAGACTGGGTTGTGTGAAGTCAGTGGGAGATTGGACCCTGGTCTCTGCTTGACCTTTGTCTAACCCTACTTCTCCCACACTTCGTTTCCACAGGAAAGATCTATACGCCAATGGAGTACAAGGGCGAACTAGCTTCCTATGATATGCAGCTGAGGTAGGTGAATGGGTAGGTAGGCTTGGGTCAAAGGGTACTGGACACTTGGGACAGAGCTGATGGCTGTCTACCCTCAGGCGTAAGTTGGACTTGTTTGCCAACGTAGTCCATGTGAAGTCGCTGCCTGGGTACGTGACTCGGCATAACAATCTGGACCTGGTAATCATTCGAGAACAGACAGAAGGGGAATATAGCTCTCTGGAACATGAGGTAAGGCCCAGAAAATGGGGAGGGCAAGGAGGAGGTGTGAGGAAGCGGCGTCCTTGCCTGCTTTTCAAATGTTATCAGTCATTTTTCTCTCACCCAGAGTGCAAAGGGAGTCATTGAGTGTCTGAAGATTGTCACTCGAACCAAGTCTCAGAGGATTGCAAAGTTTGCATTTGACTATGCCACCAAAAAAGGGCGGAGCAAGGTCACAGCTGTCCATAAGGCCAATATCATGTAAGGCATGGCTTTTGTGGGTTGTGTTCCTGGAGAGGTATCCCTTGAACTCTCTCAACTGGTTTTTGTCTTTGATCCCTGAACAGGAAACTTGGGGATGGGTTGTTCTTGCAGTGCTGTGAGGAAGTTGCTGAACTGTACCCCAAAATCAAATTTGAGACAATGATCATAGATAATTGCTGCATGCAGGTGAGGTTCTTTGTGAGTTCCCAGAGGGCCGGCGGGGAGTGGAAATCTGTTTTGTTGTTGGAACTCTTCTCTTCGTTCTCATCTCATGCCTAGCTGGTGCAGAATCCTTACCAGTTTGATGTGCTTGTGATGCCCAATCTTTATGGGAACATTATTGACAATCTGGCTGCTGGCCTTGTTGGAGGAGCTGGTGTGGTCCCTGGTGAGAGCTACAGTGCAGAGTATGCAGTTTTTGAGACGGTGAGCAAGATTATTTTTCCCCTGGGCATGGTGTTGCATGTCTTTTATCCCAGCACTTGGGGAGGCAGAGCCAGGCAGATTTCTAAGTGAACTTCAAGGCCAGCCTGGTCTATTTAGGTTCAGTATAGCCAGAGCTATGTAGGGTCTCAAAAATACAACCACCTGGGTGTTGGTGGTGCACACCTTTGATCCCAGCACTTGGGAGGCAGAGGCGGGCGGATCTCTGAGTTCGAAGCCAGCCTGGTCTACAGAGCGAGTTCCAGGACAGGCTCCAAAACAATACAGAGAAACCCTATCTTGAAAAACCAAAACCAAACAAAAAACCCGTACCCAGCCGTCTCTCGCCTCAGGTAGTTCTGCTGTATTCTTCCCCTCCAAGCACATTTGTAAATGACCATGGCTGCTTCCTCTCCCACTCCCTACACCTCCCCTCCCGTGCCTTGCCTTTGCAGACCTCCACCTTCGCATGTGCCTGTCCTTCAAGTGACTCTGGTTTGATTTTTCCCACAGGGTGCTCGGCACCCGTTTGCCCAGGCAGTGGGCAGGAATATAGCCAATCCCACGGCCATGCTGCTGTCAGCTTCCAACATGCTTCGGCATCTCAAGTAGGTTACAGGAAGCTGAAATGGGGAGGAGGGTGGGTGTTGGAAGGGGTGTTGAGGGTGGATTCTGAGTCCTCCTGTCTGTGTTGACAGTCTTGAATACCACTCCAACATGATTGCAGATGCAGTGAAGAAGGTGATTAAGCTTGGCAAGGTGAGTGCAGTAAAGTTTCAAGGGCTCAGCACGTTCAATGGGGAACTTGAGGGGCACTTTCCCTCCAGGTCCCCACATAGCTGCTGTCATCTCATGGTCATTCTTCCTTTCTTGGGTGTTTCATCCTCTTGGTCTCCTTTGTCTTAGTTCCATCTGCTGTTCCTTTTCCTGCACCATCCATTGCCTTTCTTGGGCCATCTGAATGCAGACTTTGCAGCTTTGTCCAGGGGTGAATTGCAGGCAGGATTAGGTGCCTGTCTTTCTTCCCCCTGGTCTTTTCCTGCAAGGTAACCTCATCCTTCGGTATGCACCTTCCCTTCCCACTGCCTCTCATCCTCCTGTCTGCCCAAGAGGTCCTTGTTCCTCCTTCCATTCTTGCCGCATTCTCTTTTCTTGGTCTCCATCTTAGGATCATATAGCCCCATCTTTTTCATGGGCTCTCTTTTCTTCCCCATGGCTATTGCTGATGGTGGCTGTAGGTACGGACTCGAGACATGGGAGGCTACAGCACAACAACTGACTTCATCAAGTCTGTCATCGGCCATCTGCACCCCCATGGGGGCTAGAGCCCTAACTCCCTCCAACTCCTAAGGACATCCCACCAGTTCAATGGACCAAGGAAGAAAAACATCTAGCAGTAGACCCTAATTGTTTTTCTGGCAGAGGCTAGGTTGTCCTGGGGGCTGGTATAGGGCACCTACACAGGGTGGGTGTTTGGGACTGGGTCCAGACCACAGGATGATGACAGCTTTTCCCTACAGGTTCGAACCTCAGATATGGGTGGTTATGCCACTTGTCATGACTTCACTGAAGCTGTCACTGCTGCCCTGTCATAAATCCTACATGTGCACATGTAAAATATTCAATAAAACAACATACACTCCTTATAGTTTTTTTTGTGTTTTTATTGGGGTATATCATGGGTAGGAACTGTTACCTTAAGGTATGCCCCTCCCACTAAGTATGTCCATTCTAATCCTCCTGGGATGCTTTCTGGGACTTTTTCTTTTTCTTTGTATTCTTTGTGCAACTAGCATCAGCTTCGGGTTCCTCAGAAAACTTCCTTTTCTTCTTCTTAGGGACACTGGGGCTTGCTGCCTCTTCTGGATCACTGGCCATTTCCTCTTTAGGCAAGGATTTCTTCCTCTTGGGGACATTTACACTGCTAGTAGCCACCTCTTCAGAATCACTGGGCAACTCCTCCTTGGGAAAAGCTTTCTTTTTCTTACTTTTAGGCAAAGAGACAGGGGGGTCGTCTTCCATCCCATTTTCCTGTGGAGCCTCCTCAGGTTTTAACTTTTTCTTCTTCTTAGGTTTTTCATTTATCTCCTCCTGAGGGGGAATAAGACATGAAACATTGTTGCTTGTACATGTCAGCAGCCACAATTCCCATCAGACTTCAGGCAGAAGAGAGTAAAACGACCTAGTGCTTCTGATGACTTAAGTTTCACAGGCACTTTGGTAATCTAGTATTCAAAACTACTGTACTCAGTTGGAAAAGCAATGGGGATTTTCTTGGCCCTCTTAAAACCCTAGAGAAAAGCCCCTGTATGCTGGTCACAATAGACATCATGCAGAGCTCCCAGAGAACCCTGAAATAGAAACACTAATAGCTCAAGATGAAAACCCTGGAGTCTAGTAGTAGACTATCACTCTGGCGACTTCCCTACCTCCCCCACCCCCCATTATCATGAGACACTACCACCTCTAGACAAAGAACAGGGAGAGCAGGAATTCACACTACCCCCGGTTGAGGACTCCTGGGAGGCAGCCGAGGACAGAGCACACTTGCCCATGGAATGGGCCATGTGCTACAACCATCATTCTGGGCTCTTGGTCAAGTTCTCTCAGCACCTATCTCCTCCCTATAGGATCAAGAGGTAGTTTTAGTCCAAAAAGCCCAAGCTCCAAACCATGGTTTGATGTCCTTTGTTCTACTGTTGAAGTCTTATAAACCCAGGGCCCACAAAGGACTGACCTCACACTCTTCTGGAGTGCTACTGTTTTCTGAAGATGCCAGGGCCAGCGCAGCCAATCGCTTCTTTTCCTTCTTCAAGCGTTTCTTCTCCTGCTTTTCCAGCTTCCTAGTAATTTCAGCAGCCGCTTCCTCTGCCTGGCAAAAAGGATAATACTGAAAACCTGGAAGAGCCTGGCTTGCCACACTATACACTAGTTTTTTTTTTTGCTGGATCAGGCTCATTAAATCAGTTTTCTTGCCTCCATTTTTTAAGGTCAGGCCAAAACAGTTCATCACCTCCAACAGTCAACTATGGCATTCAGCTACCCCAGTAAAGGACACTGACCTGAACCATAGCTTCCTTCATAACATCCAGGTTCTTCCGTGGGATCTCTCCCGTCTCATAGAAAGACAGCCGCTCCTCAACTTGTTCTCGGAGTTTCTCCCCAAATACACTTGTGGGTACCTCTAGATGCATGTGTATGTGTAAACAAAGGCCATTACAACCCTTGAAATGACAAAGTACTCTCTAGTCCCTCTACCCTCAGCTTCACTCAGACCCAAGGTGTCAACACTCACTATGTGAACTCTGTTGACGAAAAATATTACCATCATTGTAGAAGCTGCCAAGGCAGTCTAGTTCCCCTCCCTTGCAACCCCTTCAAATGCCAACTTCCTCATCCATACCAGAGAAGCAGTCAATTCTTGAGGCAATACTACATTTGTTCGCTAGATATCGGGAGATGCGGCCTTTGTTCTTTGCAGCTGCTCGACCAATGAAGGTGGAGTGGAAAATGAGTCCATATTTTGGTGTATTGCCCCTTGTCTTCAGGGCTCTGTGGGAATGTTCAGTAAACAGTTAAGAAGATCTCACCAAATGTCCAAGTCCCCCTCTCCCCACAATTTCAACACCAGGCTTGGCTGGACTTTCTACCTCAGCACACGCCAACCCAGTTCCCAGAGGCAGAGGGAAGGCATCCAATGTCGCTGACCTGGAAACTTGGTCCCTTTTTGCTGGGCCCTGGGAATCACTCAGACACCAGGACTGGCCATCACCCCCATAGCAGAGGCCTGTATAGGTCAGGGAGTCCTGGTCAGCCATCACTGTAATCCCCAAACAAAGCAGTGGGCACCAGAAGTAGCACCTGACATGGGCAGGCGCCCTCACTGGTACCTGAACAGGGCCTTTTCAGCCCCAAGGATCTGTACTGTGGATGCTGGGTACTTGGCCAGGTTGGTGAGGCTGCCAGCATGAGCAATGAGACGTGCACCTACCTGGAGAAAGATCCAAGGAAGAAGCCAGGTGAGTAGGGGGAACTTGACCGATAGTTCCATACCCCTATTCTCCTCCCCACCATGCAACCAACTAGGGACAACATGGTAGCCAGAGTATAGCGGTACAGTAGGCTAGCATTTTTACTCCCCCATTCGTGTTCCCATAACGCACCGCTTCCCCAATTAAGGCTGACAGGCTGGGGGCTACTTGGCTCATCTTGGAGCGAAGGTAAGTGTGTAGGCTCTGGCGATACTCTGACAAAGACACCACACGACTGGAGAAGCTCTCGATGTTTATCAAGTCGATAGCAGATATGTCCATGCCTAGGAAACACCTAGTGTGAACAGAGGGACCACATACTCAAGGAGTCTCGTACCTTATGCAGGTTGCAGGGCTCTGCACTGACCCATGGAGGACCGAGAGGCATCCAAAATGGCTTTAGCCTTAGCTCCATCCATTGTCAACTCTTCTAGTTTCTCCAACTTTTCCTCATTCAATTCCCTGCGGTTTCCAATGAATTGAGCCAGGCGACAGTATGTGGCATTGTCATTGATGATCTTCACCAGTTCTGGAAAATGGTACCCATACCACTCCCTGCAGAGGAACAATCACTCCCTTACCCAGTTTGCCAAACCTCAAATAAATCAGATCTCAAGACTCCCTTAAATCCATGTCTCCCCATTCACAATACAGACCAGGCACAAAGGCCTAGGCTGTGGTGTACATGGGGTAGGTTCTCTGCCTCCTCTTTCTATACAGTCAGTGTAAGAACACAGCCTGTGGTAAGCACAAGGAGGTCTGGCTTTAGCCTATAATTCTACACACAGGAATTTTTTTTTGGTTTTTACGAGACAGGGTTTCTCTGTATTGTTTGAGGCTGTCGGTCCAGCCCGGCCCAGAACTCAGAGATCCGCCTGCCTCTGCCTCCCAAGTGCTGGGATTAAAGGCGTGCGCCACCACCGCCCGGCTACACACAGGAATTTTGAATCCCGCTTGACCCTTGTAAGTTTGTAATAGCTAAACGACAAGCCACAAGCCCAGTGTTTGGTAAGCCATGCACTGCGCCTTACCTGACACGCATTGAGAAGGTATTGATGTCTTTATCCAGTTGGTCCAGAAGGCTTATGGACTGGATGATCATGTTGTCCACCCGGTTCACATTAAATTTCACTTTGGCCCGAGAATAGCTGTGTCCCAGCCCCAGCTGAGCTTTACAAGCAGACAGGTCTGTCAGACCCTTCACCAGATTATGGAAGTGCAGACGAACTCCTAAAAGGAAGGTGAGACTATGAATAAGGAAGGTCTCATAATCCACGTGGCCATTTACAGCTGATAACTATCTGTCTCTAGTCTCCCTCTTCTGGTCTCTATGGGCACTGCACCTACATGGTACACTCAACACATGCAAGCACTCATACACATAAAATGTTAGTGAATTATCTTACCCCGAAGGATCTCAGCTATCACGCCTCCAGTCTGGCAGTTGTACCCCAACTCTTCCTGTATTGCAGCACCAATCTTGGGGTCTCCGACCCCCAGCAGTACTTTCTTCTTTTTAGACGGCAGGTATGTCTCCAGGAGCAGACGGAGGTCCTCATGAACAACACCTTGGGACAAAGAACACTACCTGTAAAAGAGGACTCCACCCCCACATCGGACCACGTGGGAACACCCATCCCTCCAGGCATTGCTCAGAAACATGGAGTCATCAGTGATCACACTCAGTGGATTGACAGATTTTCAAGTCATCAGTGCAAAGCCTGGCTTCAGCTCCGTTAAGTCTGGTAGGTCTCAGTGCCTAGCATGCATCATACTTTCAATAAAATCTTAGAACCCCGTCAAGAATCACATGTTGCTGAGGAGCTAACTCACCTTCAGACACAGCATTGGCATTTTCCAAGGCAACCTGAGATGAAGAAAACGGACAAAAGGCCACCAGACGAACGACATTGTGGAATTTGCCAAGGTTAAGTACACACTCCTCCACCTGTGGAGAGGGATGAATGAATGGGCTTTGAATTTGGCCTCCATTCACAGCGCAGTAAACCAGGAACGCCAGCTGTGATATTAATGGGAACACTGGTGCCTAAGGCCCACGTCCTGGTTCTACTTTAATTCTCAAGAAATGGGATTTGAGGTGTTCATCTCCACCCTCTAAGGAGATTATATTGATACGCATTAAAGATCTCGTTCCTGAGCTTTCACCCCCCCCCCCGCCGGTGCGGCCGGCCACGTGGGAACACGCGGTGCATGATGGGGTTTGGCGGCCTTGGGGGCTGCATTGCAGCACCACGAGCCCACCGATCCCACCCACCTGCGGCAGCAGCAGGCTGATTTCCTCCACTTCCTTCAGCGCCAACAGCGCGTAGCCGACCGCATGCTCGAACAGCACGTGCAGCACGACCTGGAACGGGAAAGGGAACCGGCGCGCGGCCGTCAGTCAAACTTCCGAGTCCGCCGGGCCGCTCTTAGAGCAAGCCGGTCCTAACCCATACTCCGAGCCCGAATCTTAATGCACACCCAGACCCGCACCGAGGCCTTCATCTCACTAACAACCCACAGCCACTCCTCACCATGGCGCTTGCTCCGTGCCCAGCTCGCAATGCGGCTAGGGCGCTCCTGCGCGCGCGGAACTAGACTGCAGAGACCACGCCCTCTACTCCTTGGCCAATCAGAGGCTGGGGACGGAACCATTTCCATGTCTCCGGAGGGGTCCGCGGGTGTGGTATGGTCCGTCGGGCGGGCTAGACCGCAGCGGGCGCGAGCGGGCCCGCCCATCCGGGCCTCTGCGGCTGCGCGAGCCGGTGCGGCGACAGGGGTTGATGGCGTCCCTTCTCCATCTCTTGCGCTTTTGTCACCCGTGAGCCGAGCGGCAGAACTCGGTGAGGGGACGAGAGGCTCCATGACGAGCGTCGCAGGCTTCCCGTTGGCCTGAGGCCTCTCACCGGACAGTCCGGGTCCTTGCCTGCCGTCTAGGACTCTGCCTCAGACGCTACAGAAATGGCGGCTCCTCGCCGCCTGCCTCTTCCTCGTAAATTTTATTGCTCAAAAAGTGGTGGTGCGAGCAGTAGCGTAGATAGGAAAGGCGGTTTACTTCTTCCTAAGTCCGCTCCTTGCCCTGTTTCATAGAGCCTGCTCTGCGCGGCGCCACGTGTTGCTCATTGCCCGGTAGACCCGAAACTGTAGCAAGGAGCAGCTTTCCTGCTCTCCAGGGCTGCTTTTAGGCACACCGAAGTGGATAGTTTAAATTTTCTTTAAAGAAAAAAAACTTAAGGTAGTGTAAGATTTACAAGTCCCAAACGTGTCTTAATGAGTTAAATGCCGAGGGGATTTCCTCCCTCCCATTCACTCTATTTTCTTCTTTTCTTTCGACCCTTTCCCTCACCCTCTCTCATCTCCCGTCACTCTTCTTCCTTTCTCCCTCTTCCCTTTCCGTCCCCATCTCTCCGCCTCCCTTTCTTCTTTATCTCTTTTCTTCCCAGGGCTGTCTTTCCCTTGGCTCTGTAGCAGAGAATGACCGTTGGACGTCTGATCCTTTTGTCTCCCAGCCCTGTGCCATCTGTTAGGGAATTCATTGCAGTGGAGAGCACTTACTGAGCTCTTCTACAATCCTAGGGGGATTTAGAAAATTCCCATACCATAAAGCACATTTATAAGTTAGGTCTGTTTTGTTTTCTTAACTCAGTGACTTCTCAAAATTCAAGCACAGGGGCTGCCAAGATGGCCCCACAGACACAGGAGGGTCAGGACTGTCACTTCTGGCCCTCAGCATTTTGCATGCTTGTGGGCTTTGTCCCGCAAGAAGTGCGACTGCTGGGCTGGTGAGTCCCTTGGAGAGGTAGAAGCCCCAGACTACATGGGAATGGACAGAGGCCCAGCCCTCCGATTGTCCCTGCCAAATAGTTAGCTGGTGTGTCCTGCCCCTTGCCGCTGTTTGACTTCAGCTTCATGGGACCCTAGAAGTGACCAGAAGGGCCATGTAGGTGTACCCTGCAGGTGAGAACCCAAGCTTTGTGACTTCCAGTGTGAACTGAAATTAATCACCTAATTTTGAGATTTCTTCAGATAAAGATTCATTCATCTCCATAGCAAACTCTTACTGAACATCTGTTACTGGGGCAGGTGTGGAATGGATATGGTACCTGGCGTGCTAGTGGTTGTTCATCTTTTTTTGGGGTCATTTTAATTGTATTGTTATTTTGAGACAAGTTCTTACTATTAAACTCTGACTGACCAGGAACTCACTATGTATCAGCACTGGCTGCCCTTAAACTCAGTGATCCCATTGCTTCCTCCTCCTAAAGATGTGAACCACCACACCTAGTTTATTTTATTTTTGGTTTTCAAGACAGGGTTTCTTTGTGGCTTTGGAGCCTGTCCTGGAACTCCCTGTGTAGACCAGGCTGGCCTCGAACTCACAGAGATCCGCTGGCCCTACCTCCTGAGTGCTGGGATTAAAGGCGTGCGCCACCATTGCCTGGCCTTTTTTTTTTTTCTTTCAGTTTTTATTTATTTATTTTTGGTTTTTTGAGACAGGGTTTCTCTGTATTGTTTTTGGAGGCTGTCCTGGAACTCGCTCTGTAGAAAACTCACAGAGATCGCCTGCCTCTGCCTCCCCGAGTGCTGGGATTGAAGGCGTTGGCAGCACACACCTTTAATCCCAACACTCGGGAGGTAGAGGCAGGCCTGATCTACAGTGTGAGTGTCAGGATAGGCTCCAAAGCAACACAGAGAAACCCTGTCTCAAAAAACCAAAATAAACAAAAAAATGTGCAAGATATGATATTTTTTCCTTTCTCTTTGTGTGGTTTTGGTGATTGAACTCAGGGCCTCAAGGATGCTAGGTCAGTGTTCCATCATTGAGCCATGTCACCAGCTCACTTTTTTGTTCATTTGTCAATAAGTAACACAATGTTTTATATATAGAGAATTTCCTAACACCATTTTTTACACACCTTCCTAAGCTCATTTTAAAAAGTTACTTTAGTCATTCACTTAGATGTATAAATACATAGTTTCTAAATAAATACAATTAAGTTTCACATGGTGAAACAGTTACCAATACCATTCAACTTCCAGTGGCAGTGGATAAATACTTTCACGGATTAAATGATAGGGATTGGAAAATCCATTCAGATGGAAAACTTGTAATTGTTTAGTATCTTCATCCTTTCTTTTTATCTTTTCTTTTTTTTTTTTTTTTTTTTTTTTTTTTTGGTTTTTCAAGACAGGGTTTCTCTGTGGCTTTGGAGGCTGTCCTGGAACTCGCTTGGTAGTCCAGGCTGGTCTCGAACTCACAGAGATCCGCCTGCCTCTGCCTCCCGAGTGCTGGGATTAAAGGCGTGCACCACCAACACCCAGCCCTATCTTCATCCTTTCTACGTTAAGCAGCCTTGTTAGAGTCCATTCTCTTTAGAAAAAAAAGTAATTTCTCTTACTTGGCTCTTTAAAAACAATGTTCGAGGCCAGCCTGGTCTACAGAGTGAGTTCCAGGACAGCCTCCAAAGCCACAGAGAAACCCTGTGTCGAAAAACCAAAAAACAAAAAAAAACCACAATGGCATTCTTCATAACATCACACTGTGGGACAGTGATAGATCAGGTCTTTGTGCTCAGTCAGGTTTGAAAGTTGTATCTTGAGTCGTTAGTCCTACAGTTACATGGCTGCAAAGATCTGGTGGCTGGGCCCTAGCACTCTGTCTTCTTTTTTTTTTTTTTTTTTTGTTTTGTTTTGTTTTGTTTTGTTTTGTTCTTTACGAGACAGGGTTTCTCTGTATTGTTTCGGAGGCTATCGGTCCAGCCCAGCCTCGAACTCACAGAGATCCGCCTGCCTCTGCCTCCCGAGTGCTGGGATTAAAGGCGTGCGCCACCACCGCCCGGCTAACTCTGTCTTCTTAGATGTGCTGATCCCAGCCAGATACATAATGCCTCTGAGCTCTGGGCATCCTTCAGGTGGGTCTCTGGTTCCATGTTGTTTGGTGACTGTTCCTTTCTGAGGCCTGTACTTAAGAGCCTGTCCCCTTATTAGGCGACTCATTGGCAAGGACACAACCTTAGCTTTGAAGTTGTAGGCTAAGCATGCTCTATCCAAAATGCTTGGGACCAGAGGTAGTTTGCATGTATTAGGTTGAGTTCGCATTCAAAAGGAAAGGAGTTAGGCTTCACCTCTTGAGAAAGTTAACTGAGGAATTATAGATATTTAACAAAACATTCAGAAGAGTCTACTAAAGGATTTTCTGCTGAGAAAATGTCCTGAACGAGCAGCAGCATTTCTGAATGGGGCTATGGGCTCTCAAGGTGTACATCAGCTTTGAGCCATAGCACCTAGGCCTCCCTTCGCCTTTCTGTGTGGTGTGACTGTTTGTCCTCTGGAGAGGATCAGACACTAACTGTATCATTTTTGTCTGTTAGCTTGGAGTTTTTACTTCCAGTCAACGCTGAAGGCCATCTGTAGAGATAGAGGAACATTTTAAAATCCAGCGGCGAGAGCTCCAGAGAAGGAAACTGCAAAGAAGTGCCACAAGGTGGTGATCTTCACACATCGTCAGAGAGGAAACTTGCATCACATTTGAAAGGGTCTTAGGAATTCTGGACACTTTTCTCAGACATGGAAGGAAGCCCCCTAAATTCTTTGGTGGTGAGTTCTGCATATGTGCGGCAGCTCTTCACATACACTGGGGGAATAAGGACAGCCTTAGGAAGATCATGTAGCCCAGTGGTCCTTGTCATTTCTGTCAGTGACACTGTCCATGTCAGTCTTGTAATCTCAGATGATTATAAGACACACACGTTGCCGGGCGTTGGTGGCGCACGCCTTTAATCCCAGCACTCGGGAGGCAGAGGCAGGTGGATCTCTGTGAGTTCGAGGCCAGCCTGGTCTACAGAGCGAGTTCTAGGACAGCCACCAAAACAATACAGAGAAACCCTGTCTCGAGAAACCAAAAAAAAAAAAAAAAAAAAAAAAGACACACATGACACACATTTCATTCATTTCATGCTGTGGTGTTCACCACCTAGGCTGGAGGATGACTGATCTCATCCATGCCCATGTTGCTGTTATTGTTGAGTACCTGGTATAATGCCTTGCATATTGTAGTCTTTTTTTTTTGTGTGGTTTTTAGAGACAGGGTTTCTCTGTGGCTTTGGAGGCTGTCCTGGAACTCCCTTGGTAGTCTTATATACATTGATTTGTTAAGCTTCACAACACAGCTTTGAAAGTTGACCTTATATAGTTTGTTTTCCAGAAATGGTTCAATAATAGAGGTATCTCAGTGTTAAAAATTGTATATCTTGTATGTGTGTGTTGTGTGTGTGTGTGTGTGTGTGTATTATCCTTGGCAGTCTTGGAATTTGCTTTGTAGATCAGGCTGGCCTTGAATTTAGAGATCTGCCTACCTCTGCCTTTTGAGTTCTGGAATTAAAGGCGTGTGCCACCATACCCAGCTCCACCTTATTTATTTATTTATTTGTGTGTGTGTGTGTGTGTGTTTTAACTGAGTGCTCAGCTGTGATGGGCTATCTGTGTCACTCTTCCTCCATGACAAATTTATTTCTTCTTTTTTTTTTTTTTTTTTTGGTTTTTACGAGACAGGGTTTCTCTGTATTGTTTCGGAGGCTATCAGTCCAGCCCAGCCTCGAACTCACAGAGATCCGCCTGCCTCTGCCTCCCGAGTGCTGGGATTAAAGGCGTGCGCCACCACCGCCCGGCTGACAAATTTATTTCTTGAAGTCCCACACAAAGTGGGCTGGACCGATAGCCTCCAAAACAATACAGAGAAACCCTGTCTCGTAAAAACCAAAAAAAAAAAAAAAAAGTCCCACACAAAGAGAACTTTGTGCACTTGGGCGTGGCTAGACAGGCACACCACAGTGTCTCTGAAGTGGCTACTGAGTTGAATGAGGATCACCAACACAGTGACTGCTCTTGGTACCCTCCCTGGTCACATTGGTTTATGGGCTGGCACTTCAGCTGCTCGTGTCTGTGAGTGTGCAAGTCAGGAGTGATAGTGGGATAACTGGCACATGAAAATGCCAAGTGATCCAAAAAAAAACAGATGAGCCAGGCGGTGGTGGTACACACCTTTAATCCCAGCACGAGGGAGGCAGAGGCAGTTGGATCTCTGTGAGTTCAAGACCAGCCTGGTCTACAAGAACTAGTTTCAGGACAACCTCCAAAACCATAGAGAAACCCTGCCTCGAAAAACCAAAAAAAAAAAAAAAAAAGAAAAGAAAAGAAAGAAAATGTCAAGTGATTGGCTGGGCTCCTTGAGTGTGATGGGAGCAAGGCCCGCCTCATTCTGCACCCTTTCTTTCCTGATCCTCAGTACTCTTGGTCTGCAGAAACCCTCCCCTGGCACGTTCCATCTGCTCACTCCCAACCCACCAGTGCAAACAATGAGAAAGGCCTCTGCTAGGGGACCCATCCCTAAGGAGCCTCTAAGGGGAGGCCTAACGTTATCACCTCTTCCCCTAGGCCCCAAGGGCCAGAACAGTGTCTTACAGGCTCAGATTGAGCAAGGCGAGGCCCTGTGTGTAAGTGTATATTTGTGTAAGAGACAAATATTTTCATTAGCCCACCAAAACTCATCTATGATGGATGGACAATGGCTCCCAGATCTTTGGTGTTCCTACCACGGGGAGCTGGAGTCTGTTTCTGACCCTTGAATCTGGGTAAAGAATGCAGCAGAATCACATTGTCCTAGTCCCAGGGTTCAAGAAACCACATCACTTCTACTCTCTGTAGGAGCTGGGAGTCCATTCATAAAAATAAACCTGAGTTAACCTGCTAGAAAGGCCATAGGGGGATATAAAGCCACACGGGATATAAAGCCACATGAGTTAAGCTATCCTAGCCCAACCAAACCCAGCTGCGGTGACAGCTGACTGACATCCACAAGTGGAGTGCTCAGATGCATCTAGCCAAAACTCTAAAGAGAGCCCCTAGCTCCTGAGTGGCTCATTTGTTACTTGACAAACCTTAACAAATTCACAGTTTCTCCTCACTCCTGATTGTGGGATTCTGTTTCAGTTTGCTTCCTATCATGTGAGACACCTTCTTGGGGGAAGAAACAGTTTATTTTGCCATCACAATCCACTATTTAGGGAAGACAGGGCAGGAGCTGCAGCAGATATCATGGAGGGGTGCTGTTTACTGCCTTGATCTCCATAACTTGCTCAGCCTGTTTGTTTTTGTTTTGTTTTGTTTTTTGGCTTTTTGAGACAGGTTTTCTCTGTATTCCTTTTGAGGCTGTCCTGGAACTAGCTCTTGTAGACCAGGCTGGCCTCGAACTCACAGAGATCCTCCTGCCTCTGCCTCCTGAGTGCTGGGATTAAAGGTGTGCGCCACCACCGCTCAGCCTGTTTTTTTTTTTTTTTTGTTTATGAGACAGGGTTTCTCTGTATTGTTTTGGAGGCTGTTGGTCCAGCCCGGCCTCGAACTCACAGAGATCTGCCTGCCTCTGCCTCCCGAGTGCTGGGATTAAAGGCGTGCGCCACCAACGCCCGGCTTCAGCCTGTTCTCTTATTCAACCCAGGACCACTGCCTACAGGCCTGGGCCTCCCATGTCAACCATTAATCAATGAAATCCAAAAGCCCATCTGATGGAGGCAACCCTCAGTTGAAGCTCTCTCTTTCCCAATGACTCTAGCTTGTGTCAAGTGGGCAGCCAGTACAGATCCCTACTGTGTTTCTGAAGACGATTCTGTTCTGGGGGTTAGACTATGACAGGTGTGCTTGGCTATTCCAGTTCCCTGCCATCTTTATTTTGTTTGAAGCTAAGGGTGGCCATTATAGTTAGCCTAAGACATCTAAATGGAAATATGCTGGAGGATATGACCAGGCTTCTGAAAGAGGTTTTCCTTTCTGGTTTAAATTGACAGGTCCAGCAGGTTTGGCTCTTATTCTCCCCAACCCCCTCATTTCTTCCTTAAACACAGATTCCTGGAGATACAGCAGTTGTCTTGTGACCATGAAGTAAAGAAGCAACAAGGGAAAGGCCAACCGATTATAGAGAGCAAGCCCTTCCCTAGCTGAGCTGTTGGAACAACATGATGCTAACTGTTTGCAGAATTCAGGTTATCTGCAAACAAGCTTCACTTGTTTAAGCCACCATGACTTACGTTTCCCTGAACATCTTGGTACCTACTCTGTGTAGTAACGGTAATCTAAAGACAAAAACAGAGGTGGTCCTTGTCCTTGGACATTTAGAACTTGCTGTGTCCCAATCCTAGCACTGGTGGCACCCAGAATCAGGGCTCTCCCTAGATACCAAAGAAATCGATTCCTGCTACACCTATCTGGCTTAGCCTGCTGGTGGCCAGATGTACCTTCTGTGCTCTAGAAGGTGGTAATGGCAGACAAACAAGGAGACTGCTGCTGTAGGTCAAGTGTAGATGATCCTAGGTACAACTTCAGGTATGGGCCTGAGGAACTTGACTGAATAATCTCTCACTGCAGTTGCTGGTAGGCTAGAATAGCGGTACAGCCATCTGAGGAGAAGAAACCATGCTGGACCTCTTTGATTCAGAGGTTGGTGATGGGGTGTGGTACACTGTCCAGGTTCTTCTGCACTGGGTCCACAAAGCTCTACATTTTGGCCAGGTCCATCACCCACACGGCAGGATAAGTGCCCTTAGCCCCATGCTGTGGATAAAGCAACCTGGGTGGATGTGCCCTACCCACAGCCCTATTGCTAGCCTACCTCCACAGGTTGTGGAAACCTTCATAGAATATGAAGTGTTAGGAATGGAATATGCCGGGAAGTCAAATCTAAGAAACCAGAGCAGATAGCAACCTTAGTTTGTTTTTGGATAGTAATATTCCTTTTCTGGAAACCCATATTCCACTAACACTTTTCTCACCTGTCAGTGTGCTCTTCCTCCACCCCATTCCTTAGCCCTCTCACATAGCTGTGAAAATTTATTCATGACAATGGAGAGATTTCTCAGGGCTTAGAGCACTGGCCACTCTTCCAGAGTACCTGGGTTTGAATCCCAGCATCCACATAGCAGCTAACTACTGTCTATAACCCCAGTTCCAGGGTATCTGATGCACTCCTCTGAACTCCATGGGCCCCAGGCACGGATATGGTGCACAGACATACATGCAGGTAAAACACCCATACAAATAAAATAAATCTTTTTTTTTTTTTTCCGAGACAGGGTTTCTCTGTATTGTTTTGGAGGCTGTCCTGGAACTCACTGTGTAGACCAGGCTGGCCTCGAACTCACAGAGATCCACCTGCCTCTGCCTCCCGAGTGCTGGGATTAAAGGCGTGCGCCACCAATGCCCGGCATAAAATAAATCTTAAAACTAGGCCGTGGTGGTACATACCTTTAATCCCAGCCCTTGGGAAGTAGAGGCAGGTGATCTACAAAGTGAGTTCCAGAACAGCTAGGGCCACTCAGAAAAACCCTGTCTTGAAAAACAAAACCTTAAAAACACAAGACTGGGTTTATACATTAAGTACTTCTAATCTGAACTTCCAGCTCCTGAATATATCAGGACTTTCTTTCAAAATATCCTGTGTAGATCTCTCTGTCCTAATAAACAACCCAACCTTTCTTCTCCCAAACATAATGGTCTCCTCTGGCCTGTGCTTGCTGTGTTCCAAATGGCAGTCCTGTCCTTAGCTTATTAACAAACAGAATTTCCCTTACTGAGATTTGCCTCCATAGTTTTGACTTTGACACAGCTTTATGGAGAGGTTCACAGCAAGAATCACCATGGTCTCCTGTCAGTACGCAGAAGGATTTAAACTCCTGCCCATAGCCATCTGTGTGAGCAATATGGGATTATACCTTGTTGGCCATTCCCAGATTCTTTTTTTTTTTCCAGACAGGGTTTCTCTATATTGTCTTGGAGGCTGTCCTGGAACTCGCTTTGTAGACCAGGCTGGCCTCGAACTCACAGAGATCCACCTGCCTCTGCCTCCTGAGTGCTGGGATTAAAGGCATGAGCCACCAACGCCCGGCCCCCAGATTCTTTTATGTATGTGTGCATGCATGGTGCACATGTGTGTAGATGTTCCTGTATCAATCTGGGTATCCTAACTCAGGAGTCGTCCGTTCCTTTCTCTGCCCCCTCCCTCCCGCCGTCCCTCCCTCCCTCCCTCCCTGTGTGTGCACTCTCATATGTGCACGTGTGGAGATCCATACATAGTGCTTTCCTCTGTCTCTATTTTTTGAGACAGAAGCATTGAGCCTGGAGCTGACTGTTTGAGCTATACTGGCTAGTCAGCAAATAGCTAGGATCTGTCTGTCTCCATGTCTCCTTGCCCAGAAGTACTGGATTGTAGATGTAGGCTGCTGGTCCTGACTTTTCCATGAGTTCTGGGAGGTCAAACTCAGGTCCTCATACTTTCACTGTAAACACTTTACTGATTAAGCTATCTCCCCTGCCCACTCCCAAATTCTTGGCCATAGACACTATTCAATCATAATAAATATCTAATGTGCTTTATTTACTTTCCTTTTGGATTTTTGAGACTGGGTCTCACTATATAACCTTGGCTGGCCTGAAATTCACTATGTAAACTAGATTGGCCTTGAGCTTGATGCAGACTCCTGCCTCTGCCTCCCGAGTGCCCAGAATTATAGGCATGTGCCTATGACCAGCCCATTTAAGATGTCAGTTTAGGGGCTAATTTGATACATAGCAATAGACAGCAAATATATTCACTAACATAGAATTATGCATCTTCAAAGCAGGTGATTTATTTGGTTTGTGGTAGGCGTTTATGTGTATTGCTAACTGTAAGAGGCACAATAGTAACAGGCTGATGGCTCAGGAGGTACTTCCCACTTGTTCTCGTTGGTGTTATACAGGCACGATGATGCTGGAGGTACAGAAGCTGCCGTGGGCTTTGCTGGCTGGCATGGGTTAAATTGCCTGAGTTCCTGTGTTGATGTCTTAGGCAAGCTTACAACTAGAATGTTTGTCCCCAGAAAACAGTGTGTGACTTGCAGGTGGTGTCAGATCTGGAGACTCACTGAGTTTCCATGGAAATCTTCATCTTATTAGGATGGACTGAGGTGAAGTAACTACCCTGTTTCTCCTGCTCCTAAGTCTGCATTCTCATCCCATTTCAGTTCATGAGTGAAGTTCAGTTTGAAACTGTTTTAACTGTTAATCTATGAGTAGCTGTGAAGTCTTCTCATTACCAGGACTTTGCCTGACATACAGTGTGTGGGGTACCTCAAGGGTCTTTGGGGACTTGGGTGACAGCTACAACAAGAGTAACTGGCTAGAAGGGGCTTCTTTCAGAATATTCAGAGACATGTGGTGAAGTGCTCCATTGGTCCTGAATCTTTGCCGCTCCCTTGGGTCTGGGAACACAGAGTAGAGGAAAGTACTGTCTGTAGAACACTTGGGGTTTCTAGAGAACCCTCAACTAAGGTGTCTACCTTGCTAAGCCTTCAGCTTCTAGCAAAGCCTCCTTAATGGCCTGGCTTCCCTGACTTAGACCGGTCTAGAACCTCCGCTTTCAAGAACCCTTATACAGGAAACAGGTTATCTAATTCCTTTTAGAACTTGGTACATGAAAAAGACTTTCTTGTCCCAAGCAATCCTTAGGTTTTCTTCAGTTGCCCATGTGTTCCTCTGTCTTGCTGCTAGGAGTCTCCAGTGCAGTTTCTGTGCTTAATTGGTATCAGTTTCCCTCAGATTAGGTGTTGGGTATCAGTGATCTTCCTGTCAAGAGGACTCTGGCTCATCCACTTCTGTTTGCCTGTGCTTGCCCTGCTGTTGAACCATCTAGCCTCCTTTGGATGGGATGATGATAGAAATGTAGGCTCCTCCACACCAAGGGCAGCAGAAACTGGGTCCCATTATGTTCGCCATGGAAAAAGTCCACACAGGGAGTCATGGCTTCTATCTCCACCTCCCTAAGTTTGGAGCCAAGGGAATCCACTAGTGTGTGGGGCCCAGGGTTGCCTGAACAAGACACTGGGAAGGCCAGTTAGTTTGGGCAAAGTTGCAGCTCCTGCCACTCCCCAATCATGGGACACCATTGCTCTTCCCTTTGAGTAGTAAACAAGGGTGGAGAGCAAGGATCAAAGTTCATATGTTACATGTGTGATATGGGACTTTGCATGAGTGTGAGAGAAGGGAAGGGATATACAAAACAGTAGAGCCTGTGGCTGAAGCCCAGGGCCAGGAGACCCACGAATGCCAGCCATCAGTTGTGAGGCCTCTTGATACTCTTTCCAGAAGCTGACCTGCCTGAATAAGTCTGAGACTGGGGTTGGCCAGAATCTGGCGTGACTCTCGGTGGCTGAGACCCAACAAGGTGTGGGTTGGTAGGCTGTGAGGTTCTGCCATTGGTGCTGGAGCTGCCAGGGCCCTGCACTTTCTTGTCCAGGGTCTGGATTTGGCCGGGAGAATAAGATGTGGGCTCTGGAAAACAAAGACAAGAATGAAGATGTGAAAGAAGACTTTGTTCATATTCAGTTGAAGTTGTCTAGAGCTGCGCAGCTATGGGTGTAGATTCTAGTCCCATTGGGTTTTGGAGAGCTGTCAGATTGCCCTGGGGGTCTGATCTGTGCTTGAATAGGAAGAGATTTGTCTGCTGGCTGGGGAACTAGACTTTGAACTCTGGTCTTAGGTTATTGGTTTTTGCTTGTTTGTTTTTTAGATTTATTTAAAATCTTTATATTTGTGTGTCTTTATTTAAATGTATTTGTCTCTAGAGGAGAGGAGAAGTCATTGGATCCCCTGGAGCTGGAGTCACGGGAGTTGTGAGCCACCCAATGTGTGTGCTGGGTGAACTTGTGGCCTCTGAAGAGCAGTAAGCCAGTAAGCATTCTTAAGTGCTGAGCTATCTCTCCAGCACCCAGGGGAGTAGTTAGAGCTTTTATCCTACATTTTCCATAGTAAAAATTGGTACAAGAGTGACAGCAGCCTCTCAGGGTGATGACCAGGTCAAATCTGATGATGGAAGGGAAGAGGCTACATTAACTCTTAGAATATAGCTTTATTGCCGGGCATTGGTGGCACACGCCTTTAATCCCAGCACTCCGGAGGCAGAGGCAGGCGGATCTCTGTGAGTTCGAGGCCATCCTAGTCTACAAAGCGAGTTCCAGGAAAGCCTCCAAAACAATACAGAGAAACCCTGCCTCGAAAAACCAAAAAAAAAAAAAAAAAAAAAAGCTTCATTTCTAGCTCTTTCGCTTACTCAGCTTCTCTGCTTCTAATTCCAAGATAGGGACATGCTCCTTCCTAAACCCAGTTTCTCCTCCTCCTCCTCCTCCTGCTCCTCCTCCTGCTCCTGCTCCTCCTCCTGCTCCTGCTCCACCTCCTTCTGCTATTTCTCTTCCTCCTGCTCCTCCTCCTCCTCTTCTTTTTTGACAGGGTTTCTCTGTGTAGCAGTTCCTCTTCTTATGGAACACAGAAATATACAATGTTCCTCTTGTGGATTTACATGTACCACTATCAACTATGTCTTCTAGGCTTTCCTTCTTTCAGAAATTTGATACAGGCATAGCCATAGGATGGAAGGAGTCATGCTTTTCTTTTGAGGCAGATGAGCATAAGGAATAGTGTAGTATTCTGGGTCCTATTTAATTGTGATTTATGCACACCATACTCCCTCTTGTTATAATGCATTTTTCAGGTTGGCTCCTTTACCTGCATATACCGTTAACGTGGCATCTTTGGACAGTGCACTTAGCAAAACTGGAACTCTCTGAGATATCCACCTGCACATGCACTCCCCTCTCTGAACAATAGTATACATTTTCCTGCCCCTAACAACCATTACATTTAGACAGTTTCTGTTTAAGTGTATTCCTAATCTATCTGAGTATGATGACGAGAAGAGCTAATCCATTCTGAACGTGTTTTGGACACATGCGCAGTAAGGCAAATATTTGTAGAAAAAATGAACATGTGAACTAATCTATGAATAAGATAGAGAATTCATCAAACTATGCCTCTTTTTTTTTTCAAGACAGGGTTTCTTTGTATTGTTTTGGAGGCTGTTCTGGAACTCACTCTGTAGGATAGGCTGGCCTCAAATTCACAGAGATCCACCTGCCTCTGTTTCCTGAATATTGCTGGGATTAAAGGCGTGCACCACCAATACCCAGCCAAACTATGCCTCTTAATAACCAGTTCTTCCTTTCCCACAAAAGAGACTCCAGGCTGTATGCTAGGGCTATAGATAATCTTTACTCATGTGGCCTGCTGTCAATCTTTTTTATTATTATTATCACTATTATTATTATTTTGGTTTCTCAAGACAGTATTTCTCTGTGTAACAGCCTTGGTTGACCTGGAACTCACTCTGTGAACCAGGCTGGCCTTGAACTCACAGAGATCCTCCTGCCTCTGTCTCCTGAATATTGCTGGGATTAAAGGTGTGCGCCACCACACTGATGTCAATCTTTATTTACAATGTATCCCTTTCTAATCTATACTGTTACTTCAATCCCAATAAGGCTCTCTTATTTTTTTAAATAGTTGATTTATTTTTATTCTATGTGTATTGATGTTTTGCCTGCATGTATGCATGTATGTCTGTGTGAGCATGTCAGATCCCCTGGCACCAGAGTTATTACAGATAGTTGTGAGTTCCATGTGGGTGCTGGGAACTCCAGTCCTGGAAGCTCTCTTATTACTTCGGTAAATCTATGTGATCCCTTATTTTCAGTTCTTTGGCTAAGAGGTCCAGAACCGGCAAATGCCCAGCCTTAGCCCCTGGCCACTCATAATATCTCCTGTACTTGTGGCTACTACTTCTATGCCCAAGGATGCCAGAAGACAGTTACTGAACTGTGAGCTGCCATGTGGGTGCTGGGACTGGAACCTGATCCCATGGAAGAGCAGCTAGTGCTCTTAACCTCTGAGCTATTTCTCCAGCTCTAGCATGTCTCTTTTTTAGAAACTACAAACTACTACCTGTAGCACATATTTGCTAGTTTTGTTTTTTTGTCCCCCCCCCTTCCCCGAGACAGGGTTTCTCTGTATTGTTTTGGAAGCTGTCCTGGACACTTGCTCTGTAGACCAGGCTGGCCTGGAACTCACAGAGATCCACCTGCTTCTGCCTCCCGAGTGCTGGGATTAAAGGCGTGCGCCACCAACGCCCGGTCGTATTTGCTAGTTTATTCTGTTTGACAGGAGTTCCTTTAAGCATTGTATATGCTCGGCTTTCTTCATTGCCATCCTATGAGGTAGGCACTTCATATTGCTAAATAATTAGCAGTGTCCCTATCTTAAACCCAGACCAGTGCAATTCCACATGTATGTTCTTTACAACTTCCATGTGGACTTGGAAACAGTCATCATAGTGGAAAAAATTTACCTTCCTTAGTAAGTTGTAGCTGGGTGGCATTTTTGGAGCTGTTCTTAACTGTGTCCTCAGAATTAGTGATTATAGCTCTTCCTTTGATGGATTTGTGGTTCTTCTCAACTTCACGGAGCTGTAGGGGAAAATGAGTTATTTATGCAAGCTAGGGGCATGGATGTCCTATGCTTAGAGCCTTAGATCATGAGAGGCGAGGTAGGACGGTGTCTACAGTTCTTGCTGACTACCTTCACTGCTTGTTACTGGTTCTACAAGTGGCTGGAGAGTGTAGTGTGTGGCTGACTTTCACACAGCACTTAAAGGAACATCTAGCCTTTATTTCAGTGTTCTCCTATATCTGGGCAGGAGTCAGTGAGGCTAACAGAAGGAAGTCTGGGTGGGGTATTGGCAGCAAGATGTTAGTTCAGAAGTATGATGGGAGGGGCTGGAGAGATGGCTCAGAGGTTAAGAGCACTGACTGCTCTTCCAGAGGTCCTGAATTTAATTCCCAGCAACCACATGGTGGCTCACTGACAAGAGCTCAGTGTTTTTCCTAGAGTCTCCGGATTACCAAAGCTTTGTCTCTAGCAAGACAGAGATGGTGTCCTCATCTGGCTTGCAGACAGACATGGAGGCAGGATGTTGTATTCATAATAAATAAATAAATAAATCTTTTTTTTTAAAGAAGTATGATGGGAAGTGAGGATGACAGGACTTAAGAGATTAGAGGGAGAGGGAGAGAGAGAGAGAGAGAGAGAGAGAGAGAGAGAGAGAGAGAGAGAGAGAGAGAGAGAGAGTCTATCTGTGTTCTTAGAGAGAACAGGAGAACAAACAGTCAGGAACACTACAGCAGTACAGTCAGGGTATCAGCTGCGATGTTGAGAGAAGCTGCCTGTGTATAGACATTGAGGAGACATCCTAGGCTGAGGATCAGCAATGTGCTGTTTGGCCATTTCTTTTAGTATTTATACTATTAAGATGGCTTATTTTATTTTTTATTTTCCATCAAGACAGGGTTTCTCTGTGTAGTCCTGTCTGTCCTGGAACTCACTCTGTAGACCAGGCTGGCCTCAAATTACAGAGATCTGCCTGCCTCTGTCTCCCAAGTGCTTTGATTAAAGGTGTGTGCCACCACTGCGCAGCAATGGCTAGGTTTTTTGTTTTGTTTGTTTTTGTGTGTGTGTGTGTGTATACTTGTGTGCAAATGTATGAGTGTTAGTGACTGACTCCAGAGCCTTGTGACTGCTAAGCACTTTTCTCTACTGCTAAACTGTACCAACAGCCTCTCAAATATTCTTACTGTATATGCATGCTGTTGAATCCTATAGAGCTGCTTCCTACGGGGCAGGATTTTGGATTTGACTTAAGAGAAAATCATTGAAAGAGCATAACTGAGATCACAGAGCCAGTCAGCAAGAAACAAGAACACCATTAAGAATGTAGCTCCTGAGAGACTCACTGCTTGGATTTTCTTTCGCAGCTGGGCATTAGCTCTGGAGAGACTTTTTGAAACCGAGTTCAGGTAGTAGATGGCCAGACTAAAAGAGAAAAGGCATACCTCTTATTGTCCTGGGATATTAGAAAATGACAAGAGCTCAGTGTTTTTCCTAGAGTCTCCAGATTACCAAAGCTTTGTCTCTAGCAAGACAGAGCTGGTCCTACCATCCTAGGTTGTCTGTTAAACATGGAGAGGGTTCTGGACACCCTCTCCATTTTATTGAGTGTGGGTGTGATCTTCACATGTCTAACTCTCAGAGTGTTCAGTAAAGGTTGGTAGAAAGAATCACCTGATTCCAAAGAGGTAGGGTATAACATGTTTTCTCGTCTGCAAACGAAAGCCAGCAATGTTTACTAGATAGCTGCTTAATAGCAGGCGTTGTGTCATTATAGCCATCCCCGTCTCATTGGTTTTGATGAAAATTTGATGAAGTAATGTTGGGAAGCTAGACAGGCAATAAACTTCTTAGAGACCACTGAGAATGAATACCTCCCTCAAGGTCAGCTTTGGTCCATTAAGTGAGAGCTATATTCCCCCTGATCAAAAGAATGGCATCTGAGCCGGGTGTTGGTTCCAGGACAGCCTCCAAAGCCATAGAGAAACCCTGTCTCGTAAAACCAAAAAAAAAAAAAAAAAAAGAATAGCATCTGAGTTCTACTTCTTTCTGGCCCTAAGTAGAGATGTATGACATTCTTTTTTTTTTTTCTCTCAAAACAGGGTTTCTCTGTATTGCTTTGGAGGCTGTCCTGGAACTTGTTCTGTAGACCAGGCTGGCCTCAAACTCACAGAGATCAGCCTACCTCTGCCTCCTGAGTGCTGGGATCAAAGGTGTGAACCACTACTGTCTGGATGCTCTGGGCTTTCTTAAGTTGTTTTCTCTGAAGATAGGCTCTCACTCCACCCCGGCTTTCTGTGTAGCTGACCCAACTAAAAAATGGTGTTCTTTTTTTCTTTTCTACCTTCCCCCCTCAGGTAGCTGCCTGCCCTGTTTTTCTGTATTTCTCTTTCACAAATGTTAATAAAATTGTTCACAAATTTCCTTTTGTGTTATCTATTTATTGATTTAGGAACAGGGTCTAACTTTGTAACCCTGGATGCCTTTGAAGTCACAGAGCTCTGCCTTCCTCCCCAGTGCTGGGGTCAAAGTATCAGTACAAATCCTTTCTCAATCCTCTTGAAAACTCTTGAACTCTGCTGCAGCCTCTTTAATTTATATTTGTCCTGTAAAGCATATATCTGCATACAGATACATAGATTATATTACTGTGTACTATGTGATATGTTAGTATTAGTAATTAAGATTGGAATAAAAGAACCTGCATTCTCCTTGGCAAGGTTGCCAAGGTATGCAGGATTATTATTACTGTCATGAAACAGCTAAATCATATGAATTTATTGTTACTCAGTAAATTCTGACAATTGTAGAACTACTTTCAATCACAGTGGATGGAAAAAGAAAGACATTCGATGATAAAACCAAATTTAAACAGTATATATCTACAAATCCAGCCCTACAGAAGGAAAACTTCAACCAGAAGAGGTTAGCAACACCTAAGAAAACACAAAGAATAAGTAATATCAAACCAGAAAATCAAAAGAGGGAAAAACAACTCATACCACAACAACAAAAATGGTAACCAAGAAACACTGTTCATTGATGACTCTCAATATAAATGGTCTCAATTCCCCAATAAAAGAGGCGCAGGCTAACAGAATGAATGCAAAAACAGGATCCATTATTCTGCTGTACCCAAGAAACACGGATTAACATCAAGGATAGACATCAAATCAGAGTAAAAGGATGGAAAAATATATTCCAAGTAAATGGACCTAAGAAAAAAATTGATGTAGCCATTTCCTGACAAAATAGACTTCAAGCCAAAACATATCAGAAGAGATAGGGAAGGACACTACATAATCATCAAAGGAAAATTCCACCAAGACAATATTATAATTTTTAACATCTATGCACCAAATACAAGGGCACCCAAGTTCATAAAAAAAATCAGTAGCCCTACTATATATAGACAATAAAGGTGATGAGAAAGAAATCAGAGAAACATCACCTTTTACAATAGCCACAAACACCATAAAATATCTTGGGTAACTCTAACCAAACAGGTGAAAGACATGTATAACAGGAACTTTGGATCTTTAAAGAAAGAAAAAATTTTTTTTGGTTTTTCGAGACAGGGTTTCTCTGTGGCTTTGGAGGTTGTCCTGGAACTCACTCTGTAGACCAGGCTGGCCTCGAACTCACAGAGATCCACCTGTCTCTGCCTCCTGAGTGCTGGGATTAATAAAGAAAGAAATTAAAGAAGATACCAGAAAATAGAAAGATCTCCCATGCTCTTGCATAGGTAGGATCAACACAGTAAAAATGCCAATCTTACCAGAAGCAACCTACAGATTCAATACAATCCCTATAAAAATACCAGCACAATTTTTCACAGACCTCGAAAGGACAATCCTCAATTTTATATGGGAAAACAAAAGACCCAGGATAGCCAAAACAACCCTGTACAATAAAGGAACTTCAGGAGGCATCGCCATCCCTGACTTCAAGCTCTATTATAGAGCTATAGTCCTGAAAACAGCTTGGTATTGACACAAAAACAGACAGGTAGACCAATGGAATCCAATAGAAGACCCTGATATTAACCCACACCCCTTTGAACACGTGATCTTTGACAAAGAAGCTAAAACTAATAGAAAAAAGAAAGCATCTTCAACAAAAGCATCTTCAACAAATGCTGGCATGTAAAAGACAACAGATAGATCCAAGTCTATCACCATGCACAAAACTTAAGTCCAAATGGATCAAAGACCTCAACATCAACCCAGCCACACTGAACCTCTTAGAAGAGGAAGTGGGAAGTACCCTTGAACCAATTGGTACAGGAGACTGCTTCCTGAACAAAATACCAGTAGCACAGACACTGAGATCGACAATTAATAAATGGGACCTCCTAGAACTGAGAAGCTTCTTCATGACAAAGGATACAGTCAACAAGACAAAACGACAGCCCACAGAATGGGAAAAGATAGTCACAAACCCCACAGCTGGCAGAGGGCTGATCTTCAAAATTTACAAAGAACTTAAGAAGCAAGTCTCCAAAACACCAAAGGATCCAATTAAAAAGAGAGCTACAGAACTAAATAGAGAATTCTCAATAGAGGAGTCTAAAATGGCCGAGAGACACTTGAGAAAGTGCTCAACATTGTTAGCCATCAGGGAAATGCAAATCAAAACAATTCTGAGATACCATCTCAGTCCTGTCAGAATGGCTAAAATCAAAAATACTAATGACAATTTATGCTGGAGAGGATGTGGAGAAAGGGGAACACTCCTCCACTGCTGGTGGGAATGCCAACTTGTGCAGCCACTTTGGAGATTGGTGTGGAGATTCCTCAGGAAAATGGAAATCAGTCTACCACAAGATTCAGCAATTCCACTCTTAGGCATATACCCAAAGATGTACACTCATACAATAAGGACATCTGCTCAACTATGTTCATAGCATTCTTTGTAATAGCCAGAACGTGGAAGCAACCTAGATGCCCCTCAACTGAAGAGTGGATAGAGAAAATGTGGTACATTTACACAATGGAGTACTACTCAGCAGAAAAACAAATGGAATCTTGAAATTTGCAGGCAAATGGATGGCACTAGAAGAAACCATCCTGAGTGAGGTAACCCAGTCACAAAAAGACAAAAATGGCATGTACTCACTCATATATGGATTTTAGACATGGAGCAGGGCATTGTCAGCCTACAATCCCACTGCCAGAGAGTCTGGGATGCAGGGAGGATCCTAAGAGAGATATGCAATGGTAACCTGGAGAAGGGTTATGGGACGAGACCTCCTAATTGGACTGGGGGGGTGGATGAAGGGGAGGACAGAAGAAGATGGGAGAAAGAGAGGGGGAAAAGAGGAGGGGAGAGGAGGACATGGGAGAGTAGGAAGGTTGAGCCAGGGTAAGAATAGAGGAGAGAAGGATGGGAGATACCATAAAAGAGGGAGCCATTATAAGTTGGAGGAGAGATCTGGCACTAGTGAGATCTTCACAGATCTACAAGAATGACACCAACTGGCATTAAGGCTACCTTAAATGCCCTCTCATGATAATAAGATTGATGACTACCTTATATGCCATCCTAGAATCCTCATCCAGTGACTGACAGAAGCAGAGACAGACACCCACAGCTAAAAACTGAACTGAACTCCTGGAACCCAGTTTCAAAGAGGAGTGACGAGCAAAGGAATCAAGACCAGGCTGGTGAAACCCTCAGAGGCACCTGACCTAAACAAGGGGATGCATGGACCCCAGACTGATGAGAAGCCAGCATGGGACTGATCCAGACCCCCCCCCCCTGCAACCTGGGTGTCAGAGAAGAGGCCTCAGCAATCTATGGGACCTTGGAGAACAGATCAGTATTTATTCCTGGCATACAAATAAACTCTGGGAGCCCATTCCACATGGAGGGATGCTCTTTCAGCCTGGACACATGGGGGAGGACCTAGGCCCTGCCTGGGATGATATGATAGACTCTGAAAATCCCTCCTGGAGGCCCTTACCCTCCCTGGGGAGCGGAGGGGGGAATGGAGTGGGGTGGGGGGTTGGGAAGATTGGGGAGTCGAGAGAGGAGGGGAGGGAGAGGGAACTGAGAGTAACGTGTAAAAAGTCAAATAAAAAAAAATTAAAAAAAGGCCTGGCGTTGGTGGCGCATGCCTTTAATCCCAGCACTCGGGAGGCAGAGGCAGGCGGATCTCTGAGTTCGAGGCCAGCCTGGTCTACAAAAGGAAGTTCCAGGACAGCCTCCAAAACTACACAGGGGAACCCTGTCTCCAAAACCAAAAACAAAACCCAAAAATAAAAAACGATTTAAAATAACTTAAAAAAAAAAAACAACTACAGCTTAAATCAGATATTGCCCTTCACACAGTAATAGTGATAGTGGGGGACTTCAGTACCCTACTCTTGCCAATAGAAGGGTTGTCCAGAGAAAAGCTAAACAGAGAAATGCTGGAGCCAACTGACATTATGAACCAAATGGGTTTAACATATTTACAGGTTGTTTCACCCAAATATAAAAGAATATACATTTTTAGCTGCTCATGGAACTTTCTCCAAAATTGACCACATACTTGGGCACAAAGCAAGTCTCAACAGATACAAGAAAGCTGAAATAACACATTGAATCCCATTTGACAATCATGGATTAAAACTGGATATTAACAACCGAAACAATATAGAAAGCTTACAAAAGTATGGAAATGAAACAAAATACTACTGAATGAAAAATGTGTCAAGACAGAAATTAGGAAAGAAATTAAAAACATCCTAGAATTGAATGAAAATGAAAATACAACATACTTAAACTTAAGTGCCTATATAAAAAAAATTGGAGCCGGGCGGTGGTGATGCACGCCTTTAATCCCAGCACTTGGGAGGCAGAGGCAGGCGGATCTCTGTGAGTTCGAGGCCGGGCTGGACCGATAGCCTCCGAAACAATACAGAGAAACCCTGTCTCGTAAAAACCAAAAACAAAAACAAACAAAAAAAAAATTGGAGAGATCTCATATTAGTAACAGAACACCTGAAAGCTCTAGAACAAAAAGAAGAAATAACACCACAAAGGAGTAAATGGCAAGAAATAATCAAACTCAGGGGTGAAATCAATAAAGGGAAACAAACAATACAAAGAATCAGTGGAACAAATAGTTGGATCTTTGAGAACATTAGTAAGATTGACAAACTTATAACCCAATTAACTAAAAGGTGGAGAGAGAAGATCCAAAATTTCAAAACTAGAGATGAAAAGGGGGACATAACAACAGACACTGAGGAAATTCAGAGAATCATTAAGGACATACTTTAAAAACTAGTACTCCACCAAATTGGAAACCCTAAAAGAAATAGATACTTTTCTTGATATATACCATCTATTAAATGTATTGAGAGATTCAATTCAAGCCGTTGCATCTGGCTTGAATTCCTGAGTGCTAGCACCTGGGCTTTGAGATACCTTTTGG